ATGAGAACAGAAAATGGTATCAGAATTAAAGTAGAATTTAATTGGGCTTCCAAAAGTCTCACGTTCTCTATAAGGACAGTAAGCCTTTGTTGTGAAATACTGAATCTATGCCCTTGATTCAAATTTAATTAGGCTTATGTATTACGCTCTCAAGCATAGTGTGGTATATGCCCATACTCTCATCCCAAACCTGTGAATTTACATTGAAAAAGCAATTGTTTAGACTTTAAAAATCTTGATATTGGAAGATGATCCTAGATTATGTGAGTGAGCCTGTATAATCACAAGAGTTCTTGCAAGGGGGAGACAAGAGGGTCTGATTCAGAGTAGGAGATATGACAACGGAAGCAGAGGACAAACGGTGAAACAAGGACTTAAAGATGCTAAGCATCTGGCTTGAAGCTGAAGGAGAAATCCATGAGCCAAGGAATGCAGGCGGCCTCTAGGAGCTGGAAAAGGTAAAGAAACAGATTCCTCCCTGAAGCCTTTAGAAGGAATGTGGCCCTGCTGATCCCTTGCCTTCAGGGCTTCTGACCTCCAGAACTGTAAGATAATAAATTTGTGTTGTTCTAAGGCATTAAGTTCGAGGTAATTTGTTACAGCAGCAATAGAAAACCAATATATGTAACTGTCCCTGGAAAACTTTCACAGAATATGTCCTCTGGGCTTTAGACACTGTTTTGCTAAATTGTTCCCTTGTTTCTATCACCCCAAATGAAAATACACTATCTAATAGGAGATTAAATGTATATAGATGGGTATAATTATATGTAATAATTATATAATAACATGTAATTATTACATATCTATATACTATAATAAAATATGGTATATATAATTATATAGTAACATATACTGAATTATGTATTAAATGTAAATAAATATAAATTATATTTAAATTTACATTTAAATATTAATAAATAGAGTCACAAGATAGGGTGTATTTGGGGAACTTGCTTTTTGTCACTTTTATTGAATTCAAACTAATGGATGAGGCACCATTTATACTGATAAGAGAGAATTTTGCTTTCACATCTCCATTTAAAAATTTTTATTAAACTTTCAACCAAGGTTGCAGCTAGGAAGAACACATATGGGGTATTAATATAACTCCCAAGTTGTTTCTGAATTCTCTGGCTCTTTTTTCCCAATCCTCTCCAATTGCCCCTCCATTCCGAATAAAGACCGTCTTAAATTCTCATCACCTTGCTTGAGGTTGGGAAAACTGTTCCTCTATCATCACAATTTCTTCCTCGCTCAAAACTATAACTCCCTTAGAATTTTCTTGTAATATGCAAAGCCACGTTTTGAGAATTTCAAAAATCCTTTACTCTATTAAAGCCAGGCTCTTGCTAATAAAATGTGCTCTGAATTTCAATTTGTCCTTTTTCTATACATGCAAAAATATTTAGAAATTACTATGACCCCTTTGTTCTAGGCCGATCTGCACTCCTCCTTGAGGCAATAAGTATCACTGGGTGAATGTTAGTAACAAGAAGAAACAAAATTTTGCTTGCTTTCTCAAAAGACTGAGTTATACTAGATCTAGTGCTTGGCTCACCCAGAGAAAAAAGGCTCAAACTTGGTTGGTGGTGCCCTTTATGTGTGCACTCTTAGGGACTGGGGAAAACAACCACAGGTATGCCTCAGGGACCAGGAAATTTCAGAGCTTTTTCTCTGCCCTCTTTTTTTCTGAGAAATCTCTGCTTAAGCAAGTATGCTTCTTTTATACAGCTTGAAGAGTGTTTTCCTTTATAAGACCCTTTGTGAATCTGTTCATGTGCTTTGAAAATAAACTTATCTGAAGAAATTGCCTATTGAAATGAAAAAATAGTAAAGTCGGGTCTCAGCTTCTAATACTACCACCACCATCACCACCAGCATCTCAATATTTCAGTTTTGCTTTTCCATATAATCCCATCTGTGCAGATTAGTCTCTCTATTATCGACTGAGACCTCTGGGAATGAGTTCCCTTGCATCCAACAGCTTTTTATCATTCTGGAATAGTTATCAAATATAAATCATGCTGGAATTTTTCCCAGGAAGGTACTTATTCAATTTTAGGAAGATGAAGAGTAGGTATATGCTTACAAAAATGGGTGTAAGCATTACTAAAAGGCTCCTGAAATAAAATTATTCACCAGGCTCTTCTATGTGGCTTGTTAAAAGTAATCTGTTACAACAACAGGTTATGGTGGGAGAAGAGCACACACTAAAGAGGAGAGTTCTAGTCAGAATGAAAACACGTCAAATAAGGTAGACTGTGAGAGGGGAAGGTCTTGGTTTGCTCAGGGATGACATTGGTGTATTAAGAATGTGGTAAAGGAATTAATAAAAGAGATAAATAAGGCCATCCAGTGGAGGATGGAGAAGTCCTGGATTTCAGTCAGTCAGTCAGTCCCACTCTTCAAGCACTATTGGATTTCCAAACCTGTCAAAAGTGCATGTAAAATAAAAATACCTATTTTCTGAGTGAAGGCTTGAGGGACTCTTCTATGAGTAAGTGACACTGTTTTGACTACCTAGAGGTCATTTTTGCTTTTTCTTGTCTTATTTGTTAGGTGAAGCTGCTTGATATTTAAATCCTACCAGGAGGCATATTACTATATTTCCTGGAATTGCCTTTCTTTTTTGACACTGAGATGAAAAATTTTAAGTGCCACAGATGGAAAACATTTAGGTGAGGAGTTCAGTTTCCTACATTTGCAGCTGATTTCTACATATGGCTGGCTAAATTTGGCCGACAGGCCAGCCTGCCATTTATATATAGACTGACACTAGAGCACCAGCCAATCACCAGTCACTTTTCCCATATTGTTCTTTCTCATTCTATTTGGTAGCCGGTGGAAGTTTCCCCCAAGCCCTATTTATTCCAAGGATAACAGTCGCAAAAACATATTAATACATAATACATAAAGAGTTTTAAGTTTTCAGAGTCACTTAATTTTAATAAAAATTTTGTTAAGACCAAATAGATTTAAAAGTCATATTTTTCATAGGTCTCAATTTGAAATTTACCTATGATAGAAGTAAAAACTTACTACTTGACTTTTTTTCCGAAGAACAGAAGTTTCTTGCGGTAGAGTTGTACGTGTGTATTTCTTGCCCCAGCTGGACTGTGAGCTTCTTAAAAGTGGATCTTTCTTATTCCTACGCCAAGCATAATAATTTATATAGAATAAGTGGTTAAGTTTTATTAAATGACTATTGAAAAATTGTTATCCTTTTGTATTTTGAAGTTGTTAGCATTTTATCCTACTTATCAGATTAATCTCTGAAAATAAATGCAATTAAAATGGTTATGAAACCCCATTTCCTCTTAAAGTCATTGACATTCAGAAGAAAGATGTTTGGAATAATTAAATTCTAAGCATTTTTGAAGTATCCTATGTCTGGAAAATAACCCAGAAACCACTGAAAAATAAAAGAAAAAATACTTAGTTATACATGAATTTAGATGCCCAAACTTACTGAATAACAACTCCAAAATTTATTCTGTTTTCTTTTGAAAAGAGAAGCCTAGAAATCTGTAAAGATTAGAACTGACAGAAACCCAAGGGTCAGTAGAGGACTTTCTCTCCATACTGAGTGTTGCATTCAGTTGTGGCTTAGCTCTAAAGATTTCATTTAAATAATGGGAGTGGCGATATCATAACCAAGGACTCCTTCACTTGCTGTGAATCACAAGAACCTTTTTTAGATTAAATTCTAGGAGAAAACCATTTTGAAAAAGTAGCATTTACTGAAAAAGACACATTAAGAATGGAGCAAAGTTCATAGCTTTGACTGATAAATGTTGGTCTTTGCAAAATATACCTGAGCAGGTAAGCATGTTTTGGAGCAAAAACTAATACAATTTTCCTTATTTATTTAAATCCAAGCTTTACACAGTATTGGTAAATTTCAAAACATTTCTGCTGAGCAAAAACCTCAAGGAATGTGTCATTTGAAACAACCAGTTGTCTGAATAATTGGGAATTGGTGTCTTTAAATAACCAAACTACAAAAGATATTATTTCAATTATTTGAAGTTTTATTTTATTTTTTCTCAGAAATAGGATCTCTGCTTGTTTGGTGACCCCAGATCTACTGAGATGTGTGGCATAAGAAGTCACACAGGTCTTGTTTTTTGTGGCTTTTGTAGGTTCCCCAGTTCCTCCTTTGCTCTTCGGTTTCATTTTTTAGGGCAATCATCATGAAAAATGGGCAGTGTGCAAAGCATCGCTCCTCTTGTGAAGATTGTAAATCTGAAAATTGGATTTCCAAACCTGTCAAAAGTGCATGTAAAATAAAAATACCTATTTTCTGAGTGAAGGCTTGAGGGACTCTTCTATGAGTAAGTGACACTGTTTTGACTACCTAGAGGTCATTTTTGCTTTTTCTTGTCTTATTTGTTAGGTGAAGCTGCTTGATATTTAAATCCTACCAGGAGGCATATTACTATATTTCCTGGAATTGCCTTTCTTTTTTGACACTGAGATGAAAAATTTTAAGTGCCACAGATGGAAAACATTTAGGTGAGGAGTTCAGTTTCCTACATTTGCAGCTGATTTCTACATATGGCTGGCTAAATTTGGCCGACAGGCCAGCCTGCCATTTATATATAGACTGACACTAGAGCACCAGCCAATCACCAGTCACTTTTCCCATATTGTTCTTTCTCATTCTATTTGGTAGCCGGTGGAAGTTTCCCCCAAGCCCTATTTATTCCAAGGATAACAGTCGCAAAAACATATTAATACATAATACATAAAGAGTTTTAAGTTTTCAGAGTCACTTAATTTTAATAAAAATTTTGTTAAGACCAAATAGATTTAAAAGTCATATTTTTCATAGGTCTCAATTTGAAATTTACCTATGATAGAAGTAAAAACTTACTACTTGACTTTTTTTCCGAAGAACAGAAGTTTCTTGCGGTAGAGTTGTACGTGTGTATTTCTTGCCCCAGCTGGACTGTGAGCTTCTTAAAAGTGGATCTTTCTTATTCCTACGCCAAGCATAATAATTTATATAGAATAAGTGGTTAAGTTTTATTAAATGACTATTGAAAAATTGTTATCCTTTTGTATTTTGAAGTTGTTAGCATTTTATCCTACTTATCAGATTAATCTCTGAAAATAAATGCAATTAAAATGGTTATGAAACCCCATTTCCTCTTAAAGTCATTGACATTCAGAAGAAAGATGTTTGGAATAATTAAATTCTAAGCATTTTTGAAGTATCCTATGTCTGGAAAATAACCCAGAAACCACTGAAAAATAAAAGAAAAAATACTTAGTTATACATGAATTTAGATGCCCAAACTTACTGAATAACAACTCCAAAATTTATTCTGTTTTCTTTTGAAAAGAGAGGCTGGCTGCTATTGAACCAATCCGACTTCCTTGACTCTCCTCCTGCCTTTTTGCTTCTGATGAGTTTTGCTCATGGTATACCAGGGACTCAGGCTGATTGGCAGGTTTTTCCCTTGCTGCACATAGAACTAGAGGCCTGTGTTAATTTAGAACTTCTCTCAAATACTTCAGTTTTTTTAGGGTGCAACCCTGTATTTTGCTAATTTATTCAAAACCAAAACAAATTGGTGCCCAGAATTATCCATTTTCTGTTTGACCAAGGTATGTGCTCTCATTTCAAAGCAAGCAAGCAAAGAAACAAGCAAACTTGAACAAAGCTAAAATACAGTTCTCCACTGAGTGTTTTTTAATTTTATCTTATTTCACTTTTATTATTTTTGTTGGATAAAGGGCAGCTTTATAACTGGATACAAAAAAAAGAGAAATGAAATTCAAAACAAATTATGTCCTGGTCTTAAGAAAATACCAACATTCATTATAAAATGTATATTCTGAAANACAAATTATGTCCTGGTCTTAAGAAAATACCAACATTCATTATAAAATGTATATTCTGAAAAAAATGAAGTGTTTGAAAAACAAAATCAGGCTGAATTTCCTATTTTCAGGTGAAGGACCATGTTAGAGATCTCCAACTAGGCAAAATTTGTGGTGTAATGTCATGTAGATTGCTGTCCTAAGCTATTTCACACACATACAAGCACCCATGCAAGCATACACACGCTCCACACCAATATACGTAGTTCTACTCTGGATCAGTTTCCATTAAATGAAAGAATAAAAGTACTATGGCTTGCTCAAGTACTACTGGTTAATCATTGAATATCTTCAAGTCTTTAAAGAAGGGATTCAGAAATATGTCATGTGGGAGAATGATTTAGCTAAAATAAATCCAAGGATTTTTGTGTACTCATAATTTGTTTTCTTCTGAGCAATTAATTTTTAGGGTACTAAGAAGGACGCCACAAAGGAGAGAACAGGTAAAGCAGTAAAATAGGGGGTTTCTGTGTCTCTTATGAAAGTGGAAGAGCAGAGAACTGCCCAGAGGTGACAGGTGCACCTCTGCCTCTCTCCAGCAGAGTAAAGAAGAATAAACCAGGAGCGATGGTGCCTTATGCTTTGCAGCTGAACCCAGTATCCTGTCAGTAATGGGCAGGAGAGATCTCACCACCTGTGGTAGCTTCTGAAATGGCTGCGAAGGATCCTGCTTCCTTGTATTTATATCCTGTGTGATCAATCCCATTCCATTAACTGCGGGCTGGACCTAGAGACTGGCTTCTAACAAGTAAAATTCAGCAGAAACGGTGGGAAGTGACTTCCAAGAATAGGTTACAACATGGTCAAGGCATCCATGTTGGGCAGCCTCTCTCACCTTCTCGTTCACTTGCTCCGAGGAAAGCAAGCTGCCATGTTGTGAGCCACCCTGTGGAGAGGCAACAGACTTTGAGGGTCTGGGACTGTGGTGGGCCATGAAAATTCATTGGTAAGCAAGACTGAAACAATCTCGGTCCTTATGGTGCTTTCATTATTACTTAGTAGAAAAGAACATAGATTCTTCCTCAGGCAGCCCTGGGCCTTCATTTAGTTTTCTACACACGTTAGCATGACTTGGGACAAGTTTCTTAACCTTTTTGAACTTTAATTTCTTCTTGTATAAAATGGTTGTGATAAAAGTACTTCTCCCATAGATGTGCTAGAGGTTAAGTGAGATAGCAGTAAGGTTCTCCGTACAGAGACTGTAGCAAGCATTTAATGAAGAGTAAATACTGTGTTGCTGTTCTTTTTCTTTTCTGTATCATCATCATCATTACTGTTGGAAATGGGGAAACACCTTTTGCCAGTTACTGATTTCCAGAAAGAGGAATTATCCCAGAGTACCTTACATGTCTCTCTTGTCTTTTTACTCTCTCCCATCATTAGAGAATTTAGATAATTATTTTTAAATCAGAAACTATGACAGAAAGAAAATCCCTGGATCAGAAAAACAGACCGATTTTTACAGGAAAAAGAGCAGCCAGAGCTGCACCTTGCCTCGGTTCCCAAAGTGCAACGTGATAAAGGCTGAGTGTTACCTGGGAGTACAGAGGACTGCATCACAGGAGGGGACCCTGACATTAGGAGACCTTGGGTTTCTATGGGACTGACAGCACGTAAACCCTTTTTGGGAGAGAGAGAGAAAGAGAGAGAACTCATCCTGGAATAAATGTCTCTGGGAAGGGGAAAGGGAGGGCATTATAATTATTACCCTGGGATATTTCTGGGGAGGTATGTATTTAAATCTCTCTGGAGAGACACATTATCTCTAGCTTCCAAGATTATTTGCTATTCAAAGACTTTCTTTGTTGAGGAGGCCCTGGCCATGCAGATACGTGGAAAATTGTCTCCCAAGGGTTATCTACTGAGAAATTGAGAAAGAATAAATTACCTTGTTGGGCTCTGCTCTGCCTTTTTTTCTCAGATAGTGTCTTTTCGACCAGAAGCATCAAAGTTCCAGAGAAACCTCTATTCAGAAGGAGAGTGAGGTTTTGGCAGGAGGTCCAATTAGCTCTCACACAAAGCAACGTCAAATACTTTAGCAATGACCAGTCATACAGTTGATGTTTTGGCCCTTCTTCCATGGCTGTGCTCTCTTCCTCGATATTTTAAGAACTTGTCAGGGAAGAAGGGTACGAGTTCTGGAGACTCTCTGAGATATCCTACCAACAATTACTATTATAGTTCCACACAACAGTTCATATTCATCATAATAGCCCCATGTTACTGAAGCAATTATTTTGTCCAATATGACTTATCTAAAAAGACGTAAATGTATAATTGAGTTTAGAAAAAAATTTATCTGAAATTATGAGAATCAATAAGTTTTAGGTGTTTAAAAGTATTTGCTTATATGTTATTTCAACTAATTTCTAGATGTTGATGATTTTTAAAAAGAACATTTATAGTGGGTAACCCTCATATTAATGTTCAAATCCATGCTGCCTTTTTTTTTTTTTGTCCTTTTTGAGACCGGCCACACCGCACTCAGCCAGTGAGCGCTGTGAGCGCACTGGTCATCCCCATATAGCAGCCGAACCCGCTCTCCCGAGTGCGCCACGGGCTCGGCCCCATGCTGCCTTTTTTTTTTTTTGTCCTTTTTGAGACCGGCCACACCGCACTCAGCCAGTGAGCGCTGTGAGCGCACTGGTCATCCCCATATAGGATCCGAACCCGCTCTCCCGAGTGCGCCACGGGCTCGGCCCCATGCTGCCTTTTTAAAACTCACTTCTTTCTAGTTGTCTGGATTGTTACAGTGCTAATAACTAAAGCAAATAACAGAGTGGCCTAATCTTTTTTGAGGAGACAGGGAAGGATTCTCGAAGCACGTGGTAGTTAAGCTAAAACATAAAAAATAAGTAGGAGTTCAACAAGCTGGTAGGAGTGAAGTGAGGAGAAGGTTCTAAGGAAAAAGAAGAACAAGGAATAAAGGTGTGAAAGGACTTGGAAATAATGTGCATCTGAAAAAAAAGGCCAACATTGTGGAACTTTCAGAAGAGGGAGAGAGTCTGGAGAAGAAAGCAGGAACCAGATCCTACAAGGGCTCAGAGTTCAGGTTGTGGACTGGGCTCTTTATCTTAAGAACTTCTGGAATATTCTAAGGAGGACACTGTGATAATTGGATAATGGATTGATTGCAAGAGAACAAGATTGGTGAGAAGACGAGTCTAGCAGGCTACGGCACTTCTCTAATCAGGAAATTAAATTGATCTGGACAGAACAAGTGTCATTAGAAACAGAGTAAAGCAAGTAGACTCCAGATATATTTAGGAAAAAGGATTCTATTCGCTTTTTATTCTCCAGAGTGAATCCTGTGTCTTATACACTTAAGGAACACTAGTAAATGTTCACCCATTATGTTGAACACATCAACTACAGAGCATTTTTTGATTTACCTATCTTCCTGCTCTTTTAGAAAGCCAAGAAGAGATTGCACTGAACCTTGTTTCTCAAGTAAAAAAAAAAGTAAGCGCAAAGCTAAATCACACAAAGCAGGTAAATAATTAAGAAACAATTGTTGAGACAATTGTTGTAAATCTACACTTTTCCCAGTTAACAGTCAGATGTGGAAGGCAGAGTATTTATTTTGATATGTATAATGTTTCCTGTGGGGAAAACAATAAAAAAGTGTCTGGAAGTCATAAAGTTGGATACCATTTAGTGCTGCAAGAGACACCATTTCAACAACGCTAATGATATCCATATGACTCCTCCATCAGCTAACAGCTGTCGGAAAAAGGCCTGAGACTTTCTTTTTAAGCACTGAGTACAATTAAGGTGTAAAATCCTGACATGCTAAATTGGCTTGTGGCCCACATTTTGAAGAGTTTTAACTAAGTACTCCTGCTGGAAAAATTGAATTTTTAAAGATATTTGGGTTATTTAATTAGATGGCATTTATCCTTGCACTTAGAGTTCCTACTAGTAGTGATGTGTTTGTGATTAATCCATTGTAAATTGACTCCAAGAAGACAATTTCTAACACTTGAAAGCTTCAAAGATTACAGTCTGTAGCTTCGAGAAGTGATCAGTAGATGGGCTTGGGATAATAAGATTTCACTAAGATTTTAGCAAAAAAAAATGTAAGGAAATGATCTATTTATATATTATTTAGTCAGAAACTCTTATTGAGCCCTGCTATAGGTCAAATTTGTCCAGCAAAAGTTCATGTATCAGGAACTTGATCCTTATTGTAACAGTGTTAAGAGGGTGGGAAATCCAACTATGGTATTTGAAAGGCGAGGCCTTTAAGAGGTGATTGGATAGTGAGGACTGAGCCCTTGTGAAAACATTGATTAACTCATGGAGTAATGAGTTGATGGTTTAATGGGTTGTCATTGGTGTGGTCTGATGGCTTTAAAAGGAGGGTAAATAAGAAGGTTAGCTCTCTCTTGCTTATTCTATTCTCACCATGCGACACACTGCTTTGCTGTAGCATCACTAGCAAGATGAAGGCCCACAGCCTTCCGGACTGTGAACTTCCCAGCCTTCAAAAGTATTAGAAATAAATTTTATTTTCTTATAAATTTCTCAGTTTCAGGTATTCTGTTATAAGCAACAGAAAAGGCCTAATGCAAACCCCCACTGTGCATCTGGAATTATACTACTCAGTGGGAGTATAAGAATTTCAAAAGGTGTATGGTTTTTTAAGGAATATGGTTATTTTTTTAAATTGTAATTATGGTAATGGAACTAAATTAGAAGTATGATGATGGACATGGGAATAGCTGAAGCCATGAAAGTGAGTGTGCATTTCCCAGGGCTGTCACAGAGTGAGAGCACAAGACAGCTTAGCACACGAACATGAATAATAGGATAACTAGAAGGGAGATCCGGTGGGAAGAACTGACACAGAACCAAGGACAGACAGTCCATCGAAATGGTGGGAAATTAAGACCCTAAGGAGGCCAAGTGACAATGGTTTCTACCAAAAAGAGTATTCATATTGTTAAATGTTTCAGCGTATAAGTTAAACCAAGACTGTAAATTGTCCATTGTGCTTAGGAATGAGGAGGTTATGGAAGATTGTAGAAAGTTTAGTTTTCAGCAAGTGATAGGGAAGTAAGCCACATTGTCATTCAAATGTGAATGGCAGGTGTGAAAACAAGGATGGCCAGTCTAAACATCTCATGCAGAAATTTGAACCCGGTTAGAAGTTAGGACAGGAGCAGGAAAAGGTATCCACAGAAGGCTTTGAGAAGATGTGATCAACATTAACGGGAGGGAGGATTTATACAGAGAAATAAAGACTACAGATGTACCAAAACCTATATTCAGTTATTGACATTTTTTTCATTATTAAAAAAAAACATCTGTTTCTCTTAAGAAGCAATAACCATTGCAAACTACTTAATTAGAGATCCACTTAATCTCAAAGCTACTTTTGTGGAGTCTTTTTTATCATCATCCCGGCACCTAAAGGGCACTAAACAATAGGAGACTAAAAACTGTGTGATTAAAGTGTATACAGCAATATATAGAAAAGTATGTAGAAAAAGTATGTTGCGAAAGGTTAGGTGGTTTAAATGAACACTGAATGTACACAACTGATGATTAGAAAGTCAGATTTTAATGACAGTCCTCATGGATTTGTGAAAATTCTTAATTGTTGTTGCTGTTTTATCCTTAACTAAATCTCACTCTACTTAAGCATGATAAAGCCTTCAGTCTCCTGTGGTGATTTCATGTAACCCGTGCAATTCTTTATAAAGCAGTTTCTTCCGGAGAGCTTAGAAGTGTCAGAATTTATGAA